TCTCGTTTTTATTTTTTATAAAACTGATGTCATTATTGACGTGACGCTGACATAGCATATAAGGTGAATTGAAAATGTTGACATGGCATTAACAAGATAGTGACGTGTGTCTCTTTCTTATTTTTTTTTTTAAATATTATGTGCTTATTAAGTTTCAAACCTAAGATCTCACATAAGTACAACAAACTATTTATCACATACTCTAATCCCTTACCTTAAATTATATATTGCTTTTTTATCTTTTCTTATTTTCTTTCTCTTTTTCTTTTTTACTTTTTTTCTCCCTCCTCTTACCTTTTCCCATTGAGTATTGATCGCTAGTCATCAAACGTCACTGCTAAATACTGGTTGACGGTCACTAATCACGATCATAGCATGGAATGTTCGGAAGCTATCGACTGATGATCAACGTTCAGTGACTGACGATTGACAATTGACGATGACGTCCAATGTCTGGTGGTTGATCCTTAAAAAGGAACATGAAAGGAAAGAGAAAGAAAGAAAAATTAAAAATAAAAATAAAAATAATATTTAAATAAAGGTAAGGTGATGTTTGGTACTTTACAATGGAATGTGATTTAAGGAAAAATAACATTACAGTGCTTAGTATATAAACAAAATTATAATTAAAATGCAGAAAAGATAATATTGCAGCGTTTGGTTTATAAGTATTTTGTTGAGAATGTAATGTTAATTTTTAAAATTATTTTTATTTTTTAAAATACAAGTTTAATATAGTTATATTTTTTATTATTAAATTTTATATAATATCATCTCTTAAATATATTTTTAATATTATATATTTTATTTTCATTTCTTATTATAATTTTATATATTTTATTTTTATTTCTTTAATATAATTTTTTATATTATATATTTTATTTTAATTTCTTTTACTTATATTAGAGAAATTTTAATTTCTTATGTTTTATTTTATTTTAATTTTTAATTCTTATATTATATATTTTATTTTAATTATAACATTACAAAATGTCTTTAACAAAGTACTAAAGTTAAAGAGTAAAAATGTTTTTAATAATATTGTAGAATGAATGTAATGTGATTATATTGGTTTTGAACTATTACAGTAATATGTTATAAAACAAACACTGTAATATAATTTAATTAGATATATTACAAAGAATGTGCTTCTATTTTCCTCATATTACATGTTAGCTAAAGGTTTAGAGTAGATGGTAAAAAACTTATGAGATCTTATATTCTAAACTTAGCAATCACATAATATTTTTAAAGAAAACAAAAAAGAGACACATGTCACTCTCTTATTTATGCCATGTGGTGCCTTTCTTGACATACGACATGTCACCTTAACAATGACATCAATTTTGTGAAGGATAATTTTGAAAGAAAAATATTAAAAGGATTAAATTGAATCAATTCTCAAAATTAAATGATTATATTATTACAATTTTAAGTTGAGGGATCAAAATGAAGAAAATGCATGAGTACAAGGATTGTTGTGGTATTTTGACTTTTTTTTGTAAAAAAAATAAAATAATAATTTTTAAAATTAATAAATAATAAAATTCTTTTCAATATTACTCAGTTATCAGATGAATAAAAAATTTATTAATTGACTAATATTTGGATCTATGTATATAATGAAAAATATTTTTTGAAATGAAATGTTTAGTTTAAAAAATAATTGATCTGATTAAAATTTTGGTTAAAAGTTAAGAATAAGATGTGGGTGTGGGTTGGGGTGGGGGAGTATTTCACTCTAAAAAGGCTACCGAGTCTGAGACTGTAACTGGGTTGGGGCTCTTCTCTTTCTTTCCGTGGGAAGTAGTGAAACTCTGAAACAAACTCCTCAAATTTGTTTCACTGCAACACTCCAACTGAAGGTCAGTTCTTTCGTCATATCTCTTAACTCTCTTGTCTTCCATTTTCTTTTTCTTATTTCTTTATTTATTTATTTATGAAAATGCCAGTGAATTTTATAGACAATCTTAGGGTTTATCTATGTCATCAAATTCAGACATTGCACTTTCTTATTTATTTGCGTTTTGTTTTCATTTACTCACCGTTACTCTTCCCAACTTTCTCGTTTCAAATTTTGTTTTAATACAATATTTCATCACAGTGAGAAAATACAACAAAAAGTAGTAGAAATCAAAGTGGAAGAAATTACGTATTTCAGTAAGAATTTGTTCATTGTAGAAAAATCATTCACTTTTTGCCATATTTTAGCATTTAAATTGTAATGTTCAGTTATCATACTTGAACGCAATAGCTGATAACTGTTGTCTTGTTTATGTTATTGACTTTTCCTTTCTCTATTTTGATTTTCCTCATGGAAGTTGTTTTAGTTTCCTGAGAGTTTGTATGTACCATATCTTACATAAAGCTTGATTATTGTATGCCTGTATTGTCCTCAGCTGTGGTTCTTTTTTTGAAGTGTTTCTGTCTATGGGTTTTGTAATATTGCTTATGTAATGGATTTTTGTTTTTGTTTTCTTGGAAATTTGGAATAATTCTGAAAGTTATTGTTATTCTGGAATGAAAACAGTTGGGTTCAAAAGCGCTTGATATTGATGCATTTCAAGACTTAAAACATGTCTGTTGATCCCAGTGCAACAATGAATTATGTGGATGATGAAGCTTCTTCGGGCTCTGGTGATGATGTGAACATGCTAGATGGACACAACAAGCGTCAATCTGCAACACCATCAAGTTCTGGCCGGCGCAAGAGAAGTCGGAAGGCTACTGGAGATGCCATAGTGGATGCTATGCTAGAAATAGCAGCCGCTTCAAAAATGAGGGCATCTGCAATTATGAAGAATGAAGACCGGTTTTCTATAAGCAAATGCATAAAAGTGTTAGATGAGATGCAAGGTGTTGATCAACGGATTTACTTTCTTGCTTTGGATTTATTTGAGAACCCCAATGCTAGAGAAATATTTATATCTCTTAAGAGTGATAAAAGGTTGCCATGGTTACAGGGCAAGTGTAGTTCTTTATCTACTTGATGAATAGTTTTAATGGCATTGTTAGTTGTGTATCTTTTAGTCTCATCTTTTGGTTTTGGTATGTATGAGCATAGTGGTGCCTAGGTACTTATATTATTGTAATACCTTGACTTTATGGTTGCTTGATTTGGTGTAATAATCTAAAATGATAGTTAGAGGGCTTATCATGTGTTTTTTTTTTTAATTTATTTTTTCCAAATCATTGCTTGGTTTTGTGGACTGGATGTTTGTTTGGTTTTCTTTTAAGGGTGATTCAGTGTGTATAGTGTTATTATAGTTTGCATTGCATTACACTGGCTTTATTAGTTTTTATTTCACAGATAAGTCAACTGGCATGGATGACCTTGACTTAGAATTGGACGAGATGGAGCTAGTTGCAGCAGCTGCTGGTTACTATTATTATAATTGCATAACTAGGCAAACTCGATGTACTTCATCACCTAGTGGAAGTGGTTTTATGAATGAGGTGCTAGAAGGACCTGATGATCTGTGTCGAGAAATGTTTCGGATGGATAAACATGTCTTTCACAAACTATGTAACACTCTTCGACATAGAGGTATGTTACGTGATACAGCTGGTGTTATGATCGAAGAGCAGCTGGCAATTTTCTTAAATATTGTGGGTCATAATGAACGCAACAGAGTAATCCAAGAGCGGTTTCAGCATTCGGGTGAAACCATAAGTCGGCATTTTAATAATGTTTTGAAGGCTATCAAGTCACTTTCACGGGAATTCTTACAGCCCCCAAATATCAGTACTCCATCGGAAATTCTTAACAGTAACAGATTTTACCCATATTTCAAGGTTCATATCCATAAACCTATTTCTTTTGTCATCATATGTCTATCATCTGTGATTTACTTTAGTTCTGTGCACTTAGGATTGTGTTGGGGTCATAGATGGAATGCACATCCCTGCACATGTCCCCGCAAAAGATCAGTCTCGTTTTCGCAACAGGAAAGGTGTTTTGTCACAAAATGTTTTGGCAGCCTGCACATTCGATCTACAGTTTATATTTGTTTATCCAGGTTGGGAAGGATCTGCTGCTGATTCACGAGTGTTAAGAGCAGTCCTAGATGATCCCGATCAGAATTTTCCTCACATTCCTGAAGGTTTTATGTTCTACCTTTCTTTTTGTTTTTTACCAGAAAGTCAGGGTGGGGAGGGAGTTGTTATGTTTTGTCTTGTGGAAATGTGAGTTGAAAAATGATATTGGATGAAATTTACAGTTGTCTGTTTTTTTTTGTTAAATGAATAATTTAACATCATGGTAAGGATCTCCATTTCTGTTCAATTCCAGGTCCAAAGTTTTTGTTGCATCTTCATAAAGATAGTTTAATTGTTTTCTTGGTTGTTATTATTTTCTGTGGCCAGAAGTTTTTCTTAATCTTGCATGTCTCGTGGATGAAACTGAAAGCGACTTACCCTAAACTTTTTGCTGTTAACAGGAAAGTATTATTTGGTTGATGCGGGTTACACCAACATGGAAGGATTTCTTTCTCCATATCCTGGAGTTAGGTATCACCTGCATGAATATAGAGGTGCTAATCAATTACCCAGAAATGCAAAGGAGCTCTTTAATCACCGCCATTCTTCTCTTAGAAATGTCATACAGAGATCTTTTGATGTGCTGAAAGCTCGATTTCCAATTCTCAAACTTGCCCCTCAATATGCCTTTCATATTCAAAGGGATATAGTTATAGCTGCATGTGTTCTACATAATTACATCCGGCGTGAGGAAAGACATGATTGGTTGTTTTCTAGCATGGAGGGGGTGACAGTGGATGAATTGCCTGATTTTGATGAGCAGCCTGAACTGCAGTTTGCTTCCTCAATTCAGGAACAAATCGCCTCATCTTTACGAGAATCAATAGCAGCAGTGATGTGGAATGATTTCTTGAATAAATGGGATCAATGGTGATTGTTAGCTACAAAATTTAGAAGGTTGTAGAATAGTTGTATATACTTACTGTTTCTTTCCTTTCTGGAGCTCATTCGATCTTCCAAGAGGTTTCTCCAGTTTTATAATATATGATATAAAGCATAAGTTGGGTACTTCTCCAATCCCCACGAAGAGAGGAAGCATAGCTTTGCCGAAAGTTTACTGCAGCGATGTGAACCAGGCTGGATCTGCCCTATGGTGCGTTTCCCTGATGCTACATAGATGGAATTTTGTAGTGGTGAATACTAGCAAACACAAATCCCATATTACATAAACTCTTCTTATGGCATTAGCCTTTTTATTTACTCACTAATAAATAAATTAATTATTCACTGAACATATTGTGCATAAAATGGCAATCTTGACTTAATTTGTTAAAGTAAAAAGGGTTTGCTTAATGAGTATTTTAGATATTTATTGAGGATAGTTAAAACACTATTTATAATAATATGTTTATATTAATATAATAATAGATGATTAATGCATTATTTTTAATTTATTAACAAAATATTATACTATTTTCGTTTCAAATTGAATGTCTATTTCATTATTTTTAAAATGTTTCAAGAAATAATATTTACTTCTTAAAAAATGAAACACTTCATTGAAATATTCATTTTGGATAAAACTCTTTAATTTTTAATATAATTGGCAAAATTTGTAAAAGAAAAAATAAATTATTCTATTTCTAAATTCAATTAGAAATGGAGTGGCGTAAAAGTGCACCAGTGACCATATGAAGGCTGCAATTTGGGACTTTAACCTTAGAAGGGCAGTGGATTTTTGAGTTTTCAGTATGAAAGCTAAACCGCTTCCAAGATGCTTGAAATAATAGGAAAAGGAGTGCCCTAAAACGGCTGAATCTTTTCACTCAAAACATATAGCTGAAGAAGCTCACGCCGTCCAAGCTGCTCCTCCCATGGCCTCCAGGTAACACATTCTTTATCAAAGTGCATACACCAATATTAGCATTCTCTTCAACTGTTATTTTGTGGTTTTGGAATTACTATCAAACGAACAGATGTAACTCAAACTGCAAAAACAAGAGTTTAATCAGTTTCTACTGTCTCTATCCACATACAGACGATTGAGGGCATTCAAGAGGTGGATGAAATCCCAAGGAATCAAATTCAGCGATGCAATTGAGTTTACAGACTGCCCAGAACAAGGGCTTTCAGTGCGAGCCTTGTGTGATTTAAAGGAAGGTGATGTGGTCGCCCAAATACCAAAGGCTGCTTGCCTCACTATCAAGACCAGTGGGGCTCGCGAAATGATTGAGGCTGCTGGTTTGGATGGTTCTTTAGGTCTGTCTGTGGCTTTGATGTACGAAAAGAGCTTGGGTCAGGACTCTCCTTGGGCTGGTTACCTTCAGCTTTTGCCGAGTCAAGAGTGCTTGCCTTTGGTTTGGACTCTGGAGGAGGTGGATTCTTTACTCTGTGGGACTGAGCTACATGAGGTATGATGTATCTGCTAACTGATTCTTTTTCAGTTTTTGGTGTTGGGATCTTCTGCCCCTCTTGTTGGTTGATGATTTATAAAGCATCCCATTAAGGTGAGGATTAACAATTAGAGAGGATGGCATATATCTGAGCATTGAATGTTAAAAGCTTGAAACTAGGGTTATGGGAATGCTAAACTTTGTTTGGTTTCAGAAAACAAAACTGTTCTGTTTTCATTTTTATAAAAAATAGAGAATGTGGGGGAAGATATGTTTGTTTAATAAAATAGAAAATGAGCCAAAATTAGAGAACATAAATAAAAGGTTTTTTTTTTCATTGTTTTCAAAGAAGAATAATGGAAAAAATGGGAGAAGAGAAAACATGGGATACTTTGGTCTATACCTTGAAATATCCCCCTTTTTTTTTTATAATTTGTTCTATACCTGTAGGCAGACAGTTAAGGAAGATCAAGCTCTTCTTTATGAGGATTGGAAAGAAAATATTCTTCCCATAGTATATTCGGCACCTCTAAAGCTTTCTCCAAGCTCATTTAGTGTTGAAGAATACTTTGCTGCAAAAAGTCTTACTACTTCTCGGTCTTTCGAGATAGATGAATACCATGGGTCTGGGATGGTTCCTTTGGCAGATCTGTAAGTATGCCCTCTTTATTTTTATGATCTCTTCATCGTCATTTAGGAAGGTTGTGGAAGATTTACCTATTTACAAATATTTTGTGGCTTTGAAATTTTTGGGTGAACTACCATCAAGTGTTTTGTGAATTATCTAACTGCATGCCAACCTAATGAAGGGAGTAGCTCCTACCTCAAGCCATTGCTCAGACTCTTGGGTATAGTATGTAGTACTATTTTTTATGTCTGATCTTTGCAACCATGGTACATTGGCAAAATGCCAAAGCATTGTCTAAGTTTGTGATTAGGGTTTTTATATGCTTACTCTCTTTTGGAGTGTACTATGATAACACAACATGATAAACATATATTAAGTTTTCTTAGGGTGTGTTTGATATTTCTTCGAAATTTAAATTTTCAATGCATTTGATAACTTATTTTAGAAATCAATTAAATGGAAGATATTCAATGAAAAAGTGTTGAAAATCTTAAGTACTTAAAAGCTACTTAATATATGCAATCAATCATATTTAAGGAAAGAGTTGTCATTTAATTACATTAACATTATATTAATGTAAAATACTCACATATGTTTAGTATTTTAACTATTTATTTTTGCTTTTTAACTTTTACTGATATAAAATACTTACAAAAAAAATCAATAGAATATATATTTAGTATTTAACTTTTAGTAGAATACCATATGATTTTTATAATAGAAATTCAGTATTTAATGTTTCACTGTTGGAATTTTTTCAGTTTCTCAAACAGCACCTTAGTCTTAGTTTTTTCTTTTCTTTCATCTCTTTTCCATGAAATTCAGCTTTAATCACAAGACTGGAGCAGAAGATGTACACTTCACCTCTCATCAAGAATCTGATGATGATGCTGACAGTGACAACACTGATAATAGCAAATTAAGCAAAATTTCTGGCCAGAATAAGAAAGCGTTTGGTGCAGCTTGCACTGGTGAAAATTTGTACTTTCACGGTGATTCAGAGAGCTCGTCAGTTTTTGGAGATGATCCTGTGATGCTGGAAATGATTATGGTGAGAGATGTCATATCAGGTGTTGAGGTTAGCATCTATTCTTGCCTTCTACTGATTCTATATCTTAATTATCTTCCCAATTTTCTTCTACCAATTAATAGTTTGAGTAATGTGAGGGGTTTGTTGATAGACTCTGAATCCAAGATGCATAAGGTTGACTTTTGAGGAAAATAGGTCTCTTACTGAATTAGGCTTTTATTCAACTACATGGCTTATATTTTCTTTTAAACAATCAAGTTTGAAGACATTTTGAACTTGCAGCTAAACTTAGAGTTAACACAAATTTCTCTATTCTCTCAAATTTTCTTACTGTAATAGCTGTGAGAGAGAAACATATTGACAATTTTTTGTTACTGATCTACTTCTTGGCTGCTAATATTTGCATCCCCTAGTAACCAATGGGAACTTATCACCAGGTCAATAGCAGTGCCCTTCCTTCCAAGACTTGTGACCTTCTTATAGAGGCATCAGGAGGAGCAAGAGTGATAAGGAAGATGGTTAAAGAAGGTGAGAGTAAAATAGTAAAATGATCGAGAGTGAGAGATTTAGGGTAGAGAGATGTAAAGACCTGGCTTTATACTTGTGTGGATTTTGTCCTTGGGGACTGGCAATCATGTATGACAAACAGAGAGAAGGGAGGTAGTGGTGTTGGATAGGCACTTTGCATCTTGGGAATGATGGGAGAAAGTTTGGAGGGAAAGAGTATCGGTGGATAGGAGATTTTGACTGGAGAGGAGTGAAAATGCAGTGTGGTACAAGGATTACATTTTATGAGTTTAATATAATGTTATAGAGTTTTATTATGCCCAAGCCTAACTTTCAGTTTTTCTATTAATTCAGAGTTAGAAGTTGATACATATACCAATTAACACACTCTTGTTATTAGTAGTAACTAGTCAGTTGCAATCAAGAAGAAATATAGTGTGCTTTGTTTGTTTGTTTGTTTCATATATAATCATATGTTGTACTTTCTGATATTATTACAAATCAAAAAGAAATCAAAGGACAAGAAACTACTTGTAAATATTATATGGGAAGAATTACTTAGGTTGTAACTATTATTTACCTCATTCTGTATTTCTCAAGTTCAGAAAATCTCTTGACTGCAATATCTATAAGGCATGATGTAGTGTCTACTATTTCCACAATTGATAACCACTACATTTCTGCGTTTGCAATTTACAACCTTGATCTCCAACTCTTAATCAGGCTTTTTGGATGATGCTTGTTGTAGAAAAAGAAAACCTTGGTCTTCAATTTTAAGTAGGTTTTCTGGATAATGCTTGTAGTAGAAAACAAAGCTGAAACATAAGTACTTGTCGTACAGAGAAGGAGTCTCAAGGAGTGAACAATAATTAAAACATAGGAATGGGTTGATACAATTAATGCCACTTTCATGTTTATTATTGAAATAAAAGCAAGATTATTTTATACAGTGTAAAAGTCCAAATAACAGTTAAGAAGCCCTTCAAGTAAGTTTAAGCTCGACATAGAAAGAAAAAAACCAATGTAATGAGTCTCTGCCTTGGAATAATATTTCCTTTTTCTTTTACATACTTTTTTTGTTCAAATTTTTCTTCCACGTGTGTGTGGGTGTATGCAGTTAGTTGACAAAGGCTTTTCTTCATGTGCTTTTATTGTTTTTCCATCTGCTCTCATAGTGATCTTGTGTTTTTTCTATTTCTCTGATATAATTATTTGATTCTCATATGGTCATATGCCATTGCTGCTTCTTTGGAACTTGTCCTTTGCTTTGGCATTTGTGCACTGAGAATGTTGAATCTTGCCTTCACCTTGTCAGAAAGCACGTCTATATCATGCTAGGTGGTTTGATTGATTTTACCTACTGAAAATTCATTTCCTGTTTTAGTTCTTCAGATCAAGCTTTTCTCAAGCTAGCCCCCTATTCTTGAGTAATTCTAAAAACTTTTACATCTCAGGTTTTTAACACTTATGGGTCACTCGGCAATGCTGCTTTGCTTCACAGATATGGATTTACAGAGCCTAATAATCCATTTGATATAGTGAACATCGATTTGGAATTGGTTCTCAAGTGGGGTTGTTCTTTGTTTTCTAATCGTCACTGCAGAGCCAGGTTGTCCCTTTGGAGAAGATTAGATTACTCTGGATGTGTAAGCGAGAACTCTGAATATTTTGAGATCACATTTGATGGGGAACCCCAAACGGAGCTTCTGACTTTATTATACATAATGTTATTGCCAGAGGATGCATGTCATAAGTTGGATATTAGCATCTGCACGGCAGATAAGGTTAATGGATGCGTAGGCATAATCTTATCAGAAAAGCACGACATTGCATGGGACAGAAGTTCAGAAATAAGCAAGGATCTGTTGCTGACAGAAAAGGTTTGCAGTGCCCTCTTGGCGCTTGCCGACATTCGTGAGAGTTGTTATGGTTCAAAGTCGATAAATGACGATATAGAAGCTCTAAAGAGATGTTGCATGAAAGAAAGAAAACTGTATCATTCTTTGGTGCTGCGTATAAGCGAGAGGACAATCCTTGAGAAGCTTAGGACTTATGCTACCGTAGGAGCTCAAACATTTCAAACAGCAAAGAAAAAGAGAATGAAGAGGTGAGATAATTCATCTAGTAATGTTATTTACGGAAATTTCATCCGTACCTTTTGCTTGATTTTGCCTGAGCCATCATTCTTAGATGTAAGTGATTGTGCAACTTTATTCTTGCATTCGTTATGAGATAAGCACATCACGTTTTTTGTTCTTCTATTGATAAGTGTGATTTAGTATTTATTTTTTTAAAAATAATATTATATTTTTGATAGGTGGTAGGTGTGATTTAATTGATCATTTGGGATCGGAACTTTGGGATATTTTAAGCATGGACGGTCTCGACATGTTTGTTACTTAGGTAGGAAGGATGGGTTTGGTTTATTGGTGGGTCCTTTGGGGCCCCTGCCACGGCTTCAATGCTACTTACCATTGAAATTTTCAGAAGTATAGATGTCTCTGTAAAACCATTTTTCAGTTGTGAACGTACGGGAAGGAGATGACTCTGACGTAATTGCCAACGTATGCCTTGCTCAATTGGATTGATAAGCTTGCGCATGCGAGGCGGGCACACAACTGCTACTTTATCATTTCGGAAAGTGCCCCCACTTTTTCTATATTCACTCTCTCGGTATTCCATTTTTCACAAATTCAATTAAGTGCCACTGTTACCCCTCTTCAAGCGGAAAGCTTAATAAATGGAGAAACCGCCTCTTTTTAAGCAAAATTAGGTGAGAGAGCAACCACTGGATCAAAACTTTAGTGATAAAAAAAAGAAATTATTCTCATAGCTAACAAAAGTGACTCAATTCAAAAAAAAAAAAAAAGAAATTTGCTTGATTCCACTCAGTAAAACTTATAGGATCTCATATTAGATTGGAATTGATTAAATCCAAACAATCTTGAAATAAATTGGAATTTGATCAAACATGAGCTTAATTTTGATTTCAACATCAAACAATTTGAAACTTAATTGAGTATAAATTTTTTTTTATATCTTTACTACGTTTTAAATTAATAGATAATGAATTATAATAGAAAAAAAACCTCTATTTGACTTTATTTGAATTAATTTCATAAGAATAACAATCGGAATCTAAATAATATAGCCTTTGATGTGACATGCATGAATTTGAACATCCCAACTGTTTTAAATCTAAAATGAATGAGAAATAAACTTTTCCAATAGTTGTTTTACTAAGATATTGATCCACTTGTCCATTAAAAAAAAATATGCAAAAATGATATCAAGATATGTTATATTGAGATAGACCCGATTGAAATCCGCTATGATGATACAGTTTCTCGAATTTCGGTCCAATAGGTTTAATGCTAGGTGATCGATATGGAAATGTTTGTATTTTGCGTGGCTCTTGTCTGGTGGACAGAGGAAATTAGAAAGGGACCAAAATGGCAAAGAGCGAAAAGCTACAGGGTTGATTTGACTTTAGAAAAAAGGGCAGGGGCTTCCGTAAATTTATATTTTGTAAAGTAACAAAAGAAACCATATGGAAAATTTTGGCAGGCAGGGTCTAAAATAGGTAGCTGCCAGCGCATGCCGACCAGGGCGGTGGTTGGGTATAAAATCTGCATTGCTCTGTAGTTTGTCATTTGCAAATTACTCTTCAGGATATGATCAAAATGGCGTTAACGATGAAGGATACGTTCTATATATCACACGGATCGCCGACGCTGTCGATAGATGACTCGCTTCCGGCGAGGCACTTCTTGCAGTCGTGGAAGGACACAGTGTTTGGCCAAACACCCAAGTCCATCCTCGTAATTTCTGGTCATTGGGACACTTCCTTTCCCGCCGTTAACATGGTTCAGCGCAATGATACCATCTATGACTTCTATGGTTTCCCCGACAAGATGTACAAGGTGCCTTACCTACCCTAACTCTTTTCCTATTACTATTGTTTTGTTCATTTCGGACTTTGCTAGATTGATCTTTCCTTTCTGAAAAGTTAGAGAACGAAACTGAGGATATTAATTCAATTTAACATGGATTTAGGCGATTAGGCTTGTATTAATTTGTGGAAATTATTGTCTGATCAACCTTATGTTGTTGTATATTTTGATAAATATATTCCTTACTCTTCCCCTTTTATTACCAGCTGAAATATCCAGCACCAGGGGCTCCCGAGTTGGCAAAAAGAGTGAAGGAATTGCTTATGGCATCTGGTTTCAAGCGTGTGGACGAGGATAAAAAACGCGGGCTTGACCATGGTGCTTAGGTTCCACTCATGCTCATGTACCCAGAGGCTGATATCCCAGTCTGCCAACTTTCCGTTCAGTCCAAAAGGGATGGTACTTACCATTACAACTTGGGAAAGGCTTTAGCCCCTCTCAAGGATGAAGGTGTGCTCATCATTGGTTCTGGAGCCGCCACTCATAACTTGAGGGCCCTAGGAAAATTGAGCGGTGCTGTTGTTCCTTGGGCTTCGGAGTTTGATACTTGGCTTAAAGATGCTCTCCTTGAAGGAAGGTTATTATTCTTTCTAATATCATTTTTCCTTTTAATTATTTTATACATTTTCAGATTGACATCAATGGACAATTAGTATTTTAACAAGGAGGTTCAATTTCATTAAGTGGGTGGCTGATGTCTAGCCTTCCTCTAAATTCTAATGCGCAAAATGATCAAACTAGCAAATTGACTGACTTAGAAAATGATACGGGTCGGAAAGCTGAACCATATTAATGTTACTTAAATCTCTTTTCTATCCCTTTGATCATACTGTCAATGGGCTATCTCTAACAGTAGTATTCACAGACGATTAGATGGGGTTCTGAATATGATTGGATTTTGGTTCTGATCCTTAAGGTCTGCTTTATGGCATCTGCTTGTCCATTTTTTTATAAATTCTTCCAAGTGTATATTTAACTGAACTGAGCTTTGCCAGTTAAATGCAATTATACCATGGTGTCTGTTTTAGTTGGGGTTTAGGCTTTTCCTCTTCACATTGTCTGTTGATGCTGTTACCGTTTAAGATTTTTCTTCACTTAAATCTGTTTTTGTTGGGTCCAAAATTAGTTCCTTTAGGGAAAATCCAGTTGAAATGTGGACACCATCTTTGTGTAGATTGCAAGTCGAAGATTACACCATCTTCTTTACAAAGGTGTTTGTATGATAAAAAAAGAAGAAAAAGAAAGCGGGAAATGCTAACATTCCCTATAAATAGGCAAGTTTTCCTTTTCAACTTATGAAGTTACTCTTGTCTTTGGGTCATGATATGGGATTTCCATAAATATTTCCAATGAGATTTTTTTGTTTGTTTGCTTGTATTGTTTTTCTTTTTCTTCTTCTTTTTGGGTAGTTTGACTCCTGTGGTCACTTGATTCTGCTTGTAGATATGAAGATGTGAATCACTTTCAGGAGAAGGCACCATATGCAAAGATGGCTCACCCTTGGCCAGACCACTTCTATCCATTGCATGTAGCCATGGGCGCTGCTAGTGAAAGCGCAAAGGCAAAACTTATCCATCACAGCTGGGAACATGGTTCTCTTTCCTATGCTTCTTACCAGTTCACAGCAGCCAGCTGAATATCCATTTCAGAACTCCCTTCCATATCACCTCTTTTAATTCCATCCATTCAATCTCAATAAATTAGATACAGGGAAGAGTAAGTCCTGTGTTCAATCTATGCAGTATGTATATGTGCTCATTGACTTATGTTCATCATATGAAATGCTAAAAGTTTGTTCCAATTAAATTTGATACGTGAAAAGTTTGTGCTACAACAGCTCGCTACCTGTCCAGAGGGTGTTAAGTCCTCAATGAGCAAAGGCTTGTTTGCAGCACACAGTTGGGAAGAATTGTGTTGTTTTGTATATAGAATATGAACTTGGGATTGTGTAAATTTGATTTGTTTAAAATGTACTAATAAATGCAGTGAACAGATCTCATAAACTATGTCAGTATGCATCGATTTATTGGCATTATCGAAATGTCTTCAAGGGTACACCTACAATTGTGTAATCCAAGGTACAAAATGAAAACAGAGTCCTCATCTCAACAGTTCTACAAGAACACTAACTTGACTTTGAATAACAAATTCACAAGGATTTGCAGCCAATTGTTGCATCATTGGTGTTCAAAAATTAATTCAGCTGTACGTGATGAACAAATATGGTCCAACACTCATTCTACAAAACGACCATTACATGTATGTAAGCATGAGGTCCACGAGAAAGATGAACCATTTATGCTGTGTTACAATCATCCGCACGGATTCATGATCTCCTCTCTGCCTTTAGTACCTATTCACCTTTGTACACTATTCTTCGAATGAAACAAAAACTGAAAAAGAAATAGGTAAAAATGTAAGCAAGTGATAAAGGAACAAGTTCCAAGAATTTTCAATAATAACAAAATGCTGACATTGGATTTCTTTTTTAATACATATATATATATATATATATATTACAATAATTACAATTTTTTTTTGAAGGGCACATAGTGACAATTTTCTGGCCCTTGTAATCATAGGTAACATCGTATCTCTACATTTTCATTTCTCTTAAAGGTACACTTTAAAAGTTAGAAATTGAAATTTTAATTTAAAAGTTTTGGATATAAATTTTTAAGATAGATGAGATGAAATTTATTAAAAAAAAAAGCTATTTTTAAAAAAGTTAATTAGATAGTTGTAGATATTCAATTTTGATTAACTATTATTTTTGAAATATTGTGTTACATAAGTGTTTCAAGCTCAAAAATGTCCAAAGAAGTTTCAAGTGCAGAAGCACCGTGAGGCATTTCAAAGAGAAAACACCCAAATTCGATCCAAACGCGAAAGTGTTTAGGAACAAGTATGGAATGATTATTTATACAAAAGGTGAAAATAGCTTAGAACGAGTGATAAGGATTATGAGTTATGTTCATATTTGAGATGCTTTAGAGAGCTTGATTTGGTAGCTTAATATGGAGATACATATGCATTACTCTTTTTTCTTTTTTTCTTCCATAAGAATACATGCAGCGCATTATCAAATATCACTATTCCATTATTCAAAACTTACGTCTATTATCTAACTACATGATTATTCTCTTAATATTCCATAATCTGCTCTTCAACTATTCTTTCATAACAAGCATGCTTTCTTTTTAAGAAAGTGTTCCTGATTAATATAAATATGAGGGACTTAATGGTTAGAAGGCAATCGAAAATATCAAAAACCCAGTAGAGATTATCTTGAAAGTTCTCTCAACACTCTTACAAATATTCTTTCTATTCATTGTAATTCGTCGCCTCCTCCACCTTTTCTTATTCCTCACCACTTGCCACCAAAGCACTTGTAACTACTCCAGTCTTCTTCTCTGTCGCCTAATGCATTTTCATTTATTTATTACAACACGTCCTCTTTCCCTATCAAAAGAATCATTTATAATAACTTTAGGGTTTTATTACAAAAAATACAAGAAATTTTAAGATTAAAGGTGCAATTATCCTTTTCAATTGCTGTAGATGTGATGAAGGTCAAGCTGGTCAGTTGTCTCACAAATATTTATGATAAATGAGTGTTAGTTATATTGGACAATTTTTATTGTCGTATCTTAACGCGTCATGTTTAAATTTGATATTAACAATTATATGAATAAACATGATATGACAAGATCAATTAAAGGAATTAAGATGTTAAAATATGTAGCTAGATACATTTATTACTCATGTTATATAAACATGACACAATTACTATGTTTATTAAACAAGTTGTATTAAATTTAATATGATATGATACAATAAATCTATTTAAATATGATTAACATGATTAATTTAAATGAATATCATAAATGAATCAAATATGTCATATATGCACCTGAGCATTTGGCTCATTGCTTGGTGCATGATCCCCTGCTTAAATAGTAGATTCGAATCCCCCTTCTTCAATTATTAAAAACAAAACATGTCATATTATATAAATTAACATAATAAAACGATTAATTAAATAGGTTAAATACCTCATATGCAAGTTAAGACGATTTAATTTGTCTAAGACATGAAATTATGATGTCTTAAATATATCAACACATTTAAGACAGAAAGCACGATAACTTTAAATCTATACAATTTAATTTCACGTCGTTCTCATGTTATGTTAGTAAATTGTGACCAGAATTACCAACTCTAATATTAACAAACCTCTGATCAAAATTAGGCTTTACAACTGCCACTAGCAGTTGTAAAGAATGGAAAGCGTTGCATTTATATATACAGCGTGTTATTCATAACAATTAATGGGCTGACATATTTTTGCAATGTAAGATCACACCAAGAAATAGAAGCTTGGACCTCCTACGACTGTTATCAACTTTCATTGATTTAGGGACTTAAATGAAGCCAGAATTGAAAGGTTTTTCATCATTGTTTTTATTTCCATATTATATATAACATATAGGAGTAACACGTTACATTAATATTATAATTTTAGTCTTTTTATAATTTTGTTCACTTAAAAGTTCAAATCAATTCAATCTCCTTATCATATGGTCGAAAATATTATTTTAAAAAAAATAAATTTAACAATCAAAATTTTATTATTTAAACAAATAATTAGATATTTTCAATCAACTTAAAATTTAATATACATCATTTTCCAGAATAGAGTATCAAATCTAACAATTGAATTACTCAAATATAAATCATATAAAAAAGGTATAAAAATTAATTTTAAATCTGTATAATTAGAAATCACTTTTTTTTTTTTAATTTTGTAAAGAAGACAAAGAATGAAAAGTGCAAACAGTGAGAATCAGAAATTAACCTTTAACGGCCATCGACCTCAAAGTGAAGTTAATCAAAGGTTACTTTATTAGGATGCTCTTAGCATAATAAAACATCATTATAAGCTAAGGAATAAAGAAAGAAACTAGGATTAATGAGGCGTATAGCAAATCCCAACAGGCAGCATTTTATAATAATAAAGAAATAATATAGGAATCATCATTTGGAGTAGCTTAATTGTATAATAGAATGGATCGTGGAAGCATCAATTAGTGCCAATGATTATCATAATTAAACCCCCCTAATTCACATTTAACTTCATATTTAAACTAGGTATCCTAAGCTTAACTCTCCTGATCCGTAACATGAAATTAAGTTACATTTTCTTTATTAGTGATTCAATTATTTATATGTAATTGCTATACCCGATTGTATAAGGTACTTGATATGCGTGGCCCAAGTTAAGACCCTTGAATAATTATAACTTACACTCCAAAAGGTGCATTTAAATTGGAATCCATGTCTCCAAGCTAAACTAATAAAACCAAAGTGATATATCCAAGCTACAAATTAAGTGTTCAAGGTGAAAATTTCATATTTCTGCACAAAAGCTGATATTACCAAGTGTGCAGTGAGCAAGCAGTGACAAAAATTCATGGAACCTCATTATAATCATGCTTAGTCTTAGTCTTTCCTCCATGCGAGCATGCAGCTGGCAGGCACAGAAGATATAGCACATTGCTTTCAGTAGTTACCAGTTGATGATTGTATGTAGAAAATGTGTCTGCTTTCCAAAGCTTCAACACAAAACTATAAATACTCTTACATATCAGAGCCGCATGGTGACACTTGCTGCTTTTTTGGTTTTAAAGTTTCTGCTGCTTAAAGGCAAAATAGTGTATGCATAACCATGGGGAATTTGTTAATCAGGGCAAAAAGCTTGTTACATATACAGATTAAGAATACGGAATTTGAACAAATTTTGACATTATTTTACTAAGGAAATTTATGATAAATTACTTTTTGTGTATTGATAGAAAAAATAGATTGTTATTTTTGATTTCTAGATTTAATTTTAATTTATAAATGTATTTTTGAAAATCCTTAGTAAATAGTAATAAAATATCGGAGGGGGTTTTGTCCTTTTTTTTTTAATTTAATTTTTACCATAACTTACAAAAGAAAAGAAAAATGAGAGAGAAAATTGATAAAAGAAAAGTGCAAGTTGAAAAACAGCATAATGATGTTGTACATTTCGTACAGTTGCACAAAACATTAATAACTCTCACAAGACTGGGGGACATTGCGAGACATACAGGAGGTACGTAGCTTAGGAAAACAGATTACGAAAGTCTAGGAATTAATACTAGTGAAAGATGTAAGATAAAATTATTGTTTTGACTACGGCTTCAACCTTCAGAGGTGTCTTTCTTCGCCAAGCTTTGTTTGTTGTTGTGCATCCACACCTTAAGGACTCGCCTCTTGATTCCAAGCTCTTGGCAAAACTGCTGCACAACAGACTCATCCAGCTTTTGAATCCTCCATCCAGCCTTCTCTGCAAAGTTGAACATCTTGTCTTTCTGCTCCTGGGTGAACTTGGTCCTGAACCTTTTCCTCACCTTTCCACTAACCCTTGCTGCACCTCCTCCTCCATCATCTTTCTCATCTGTTTCTGAAGGGATTGAGCCTCCTTTGTAGGACATTATCATCTGATGAGGTGGTTCTGCCCTGGAGGAAATCAAGGTACCAGCTGCTGCAGAAGCACCCAGAATGTAATTGTGATGAGGAACACCCAAGATGAGTTTTCTCCCCGCAGCGTTGTTGAGGAGCGCAGAGTGGTAACAATCGAAAGGGCAGTCACACTCTACCTCTTTTCGGTGGAAGTTCCTGTGGCAGTTGCAAGCTGAGCACTTGAACGCCTCAAGGGAGCCTTCTTCGCCGCTCGGCAGGAACTCTCCACACCCATCCGTGGCGTTTCCTCCCATGGCTGCTGCATGGTTCTTCAGGCATTCCCTGTACCTCACCACTTTCTTGTGAGCTCTAAGGTTCTCGTCCATGCTTGGAGAGGGCGGTCCAGTACCGACTCCTGAAGAAAAGATACTGTGGCCATTTCCTCCGCAGTTTCTTGAGATTGGCACATCTTTTTCTCTTCGAGGGCTCGCACTATTCATCTCTCTCTCAAATACTGTTCACCGGACTGGGGACTGTTGCTTTAATCAATTACTTCTCTACTTCTACGGGCTTCTTTACTAGTTTCTATTTATAGGAAATCGGTGGAAACTAAATGGAGATTGCTGATGAGCAAATTAATGGCAATATTATCTTCCAATACAAGATATAGACTGGGATTGACAAATGACTCTACTATTAACAAAAAGGAATGCAACTTTGTTTCACTTGAGTCGAAAGAGACTGAAGATTATGACCTCGGATTCTCTGAAAAGATGTTTAATTTCAAGTGTGTTTCATGAGAAAGACAAACTACGGACACTGTGTCTCTCTTGAGAAAGAGAGCGAGAGAGAGAGAGAAAACGAATTTCAAATACTTTGCCAGTGAATTCTCCAAGTAAAGAGAGAGAGAGAGAGAGAACCTTTCTTCATGTGGTGAATTTTAGAAGTGAAGCAACAAAAGGGGAGCAAACCATATATAATAAAATTAGTGGTAGACAAAGGGGTGGGGAGACTTAAAAGAAATTATAGGTGTTGGCGTATATATTTAGTACAGTAGAGCAACCACCAGTAGCTTACAAAATTAATTCGCGGGGAGAGACTGATGAACATGAAAGACGAAATTTAAGGATAGTTTTTAATAAGGGTAGAGCTTGCTTTGCTTGCACAATCAGCCATCAAGCTCAGGCTATGGAGGAAAAGGAGATGCACCTTTTTTAAATCAAAATTAATTTCTCACTCTTGCATTAGTGGATTGAGCTTTTCTGTCTACTCTCCTTCAACAATGGTACTGATTCACAAAATTGTTGAATTAAATCGTCCAAATCCAATACTCCAGTAGAAAAATCCCATATGATTTTCCGACCTCAAAATTAAACGAACATAAAGTGATAATTACTTCAATATTATATTAAATTTTAAAATGAATATGAATATTCAATTGAAAACTAACAATTAGTATATTATGATATTTCAATTAATTAACGTCATAGTAATAAAAAATCCTAATTGACTAAAAAGATGGAACGATTTAAACCTAAAGTAAAGGCAAGGGAAAGATATGAATTGGTTTCCAAAAACCAAAATAAGCACAACTGCGGCCGGGCAAGTACAATGCTGCAAGACTGCGGAGCCTCTTTGGCACAGGTTATGAATTAAATGAACATTTTCATGCAATAAAACAAAGAAAAGAGAGTCTCTGAAAAGCTTCGTGGGATCATTTCGTTCACTGGTCTTATAAGGTACGAAGGGAAGAGGTGCCTTGGTATTTCAGCAACCTATTTCATCTGTGTACTGGATTTGGGTGGGTGCCTTTGAGAGCTGTTGGCTGCTTTTGGCCTCTCTATATAATAGACTAGGTGCTAGATTTGGTTGAGTGCATTTGAAACAGTCAAAGTCTCTGTTCCTTTGAAAACATATTCTTGATAAGGTGAAATTCATTTTTCTTTTTCTTTGTGCGTGTGTGTGTGAGAGAGAGAGAGAGAGCTCATCTGGAACTCTGACCAATGCCACTTGGAGGAAAGGTGGTGGATCAAGGCCATGACACCATTGATCTGGTCTGGCTTGGCCGCTGTTGCCAATGTCATGAAAGGAAAAGGTCTAATCTTACCATTGTGCTTAAGTTCTCACGTCTGAAGAAGAGGAGAGGGGGACCCGGGTTGTTTGCCAAAGCAGAGTGGCAAGTGGCAACTGGCAACTGGCAAGGACCTCTGTTACCTTATCCACACCAGATAGACCTTGCTGCCTTATATTACATTTATTACCTAGTGTTGTAATATTTCGAACAATACAAACGCATAAATTAATTCATGATGAATTATCAATTGAATAGTAAAATTCATACAGAGTCCGTGAACTTGTAGGTAACTTTCTTTTTCACGTATGAGAGATAGAATTTATGTTTATGACATCTTTTTATAATATTTAAGATTCATTCTTCGATTCGTCATTGTTAAAACTTAAATATACATTATATTGTGCACATGTATGTCCATATATATACTGCACGAATCACTCCCATGTTATGCACATGACGCTAATGTAGGCAACTACATTTACATCATGCTTTTAAGTTTTAATCGAACAATAATGATGAATTTGAAATATATTAAAAAGTAAAAGATAAAATCATGAGAATTTTATTTTTTTATCTATAAATGAAAATGAAATTTTCTTATAAAAGTTTGTATATGATTTACAAATGAAATCTTACTCTTGTATCTAGTATGAGTACAAGAAAGAAAAATCCTTATAATTATTTACTAGAGCTTCTGTATATTAATTCGACATTTTGGTGGGTACCTCAAAAAAAAATTACTTATTTCATCTAATATATGTCATTATTAACCTCATCGTTTTAACAGATGTTTTATTGAATTTATATATGTGTATGCATGTATATATCAATGTCGTATAGCTTCCAGTATTAGGGTAGGAAGAGGCAGGCGAGCTCACATTTCGTGACAAAATGAGCAAGGCGTTGACGCAAAGAAACATTTGTTTTGATCACAATAATTCTCTATATTAATGGCCATGCCTTGCCCTTAACTTCTCTTACCTAAACCTGGAACTAGCAGGCATTGATGTCTTACCGACTGATGCCATCTTCACCAATTCCATCCACATATACACATACATAATCGAAAGAAAAAGAATCTTGGGTTTTTTTTCCAGTATACAAATGTTTATATTCTAAAAATGACTCAGGCACACCATTAATGCTGCTCATCTCACTACATCACTGATTTGAATTCCAACCACAATCTGCAATGCAGGATAAGATTGACGATCGACGCAGACAGTTGAAACTCTTCTGAAATTTTTTTACTCCTCTTCCAGTCGTCTAACAAAGCCTCTTTCTTCCCTTTACTGTGGTGGGCTGTTTTTATTTGTTTTTTGGCATAGTTTCAGCTTGAGTTGATCCCCCCCTTGGCCTTATGAGATATATTTATTGTGTTATTCATTAATTAAAGTAAGAGAGAATGCATACACTGTTACTGCCCAGCATAGAGTAAAATAAAGGAGCATTGAGTTCGTTTCCTGTGTGTTTTTACTTTGAAAGTTTTAACCCTGGCAGGCAGGCTCCATCATTAATTTGGGTTGGCGGAATTGTTATGGACATTTGATTGCCCAGACTACCGCTGTCTCTTGTACATTTAGTAAATAAAACCAACTACTGAGTCTGAGTGGAATTGCAATACCGATAAACGGAACAAGTTCGCAAACGCATGTGGCCTCCTCATCACACATTTATTTTGTAGCCCGCTGTTAGTTGACCACCCACGGTGAAGAGACCTCCCAACCAGCCTTCTAAACGCAGCCGGCTTTTGTCACATCCACTACCAGAGTGCAAAACAAAGTATATATATATATATATATATATTATTTATAAAAGAAACATAACAGGTACGTATAAAATTAATTTTATTTGTAATCTAATTTTAATTAATTAATAGTATTATAATTTAATTTTAATAACTGAAAAAATAATTTAATTCTAATTAATAGTCTATTTTTAATTATTTAATGGAATTATAGCTCAACTCTAATTAATTAACAATATTGTAGTCTAATTAACTAACAACATTGTAGCATAATTCTAACGAAATAATTTGTACAATTGTTTTAACAATAAATTTTATAATTTTTTTTACAATCGAGTGTTTGGTTCATTAATTGGTGCATGATGTTTTTACTAAAATAATAAGATTTGAATCTCTTTTCTAAAATAAAAAAATTATTTTAAATATCAAAAAATTTTGATTATCACTCAAGCCGCATGTCTTGGTATGTCTCACTTCATTAGTGATTGAGTTAGGGTAAGTTATGGAATAAATCATTGACAAATAGCATATTAACTTGAAATTTAACAAAAAATGAAAAAGGACTGTAAAAAAAGATTTAGATAATTGACATTTTTCATTAAATTAAATTGGTATAATTATTCAAATGACCATGGTTAACTATTTAAAAGGAATAATGCTTTAAAAAGGTTTTAGTCTATTCATAAAAGTTCAAATAAACTTTCTTTTATGAGATTATATTTAAGTCAAGTCACCAGATAAAATGATTCAAAATTAAAAATAAAAAAGAAAAACAAAATTCATTAAATTCCATTTCCAAAAATAAACGTAAAAAATTAAACTCAAAGTAAAGTTACATTACTATATAAATTCTACATCAAAATTAATAGCTATCCAACGAAAACACCAAAAGAACCAAAGTCAAGATAAAACTTAACCACTTAATAGTTGTTAATTTTCCTACCATTGAAAATTAACGATCAATCTTTCTGGTTGATTTTTTTATGATTCTTTTTATCTTTCGATAAGACAACAATATGAGGCTTCATAGTTTTGTCCCTGTTTGAGTTTAATTACAGCAACAATTACTTAGAGTACGTTTGTTTAGTGAAATAAATAAAAATATAATAGAGTAGTTATTATATGAGAATAGAATAAAGTGAGAATAGAGTAGAATAGTTATTATTTAGTTTATTACGATGAATAAAATAGAATGAAAATAATTATAATAACTTATTGCAATATTTAGTTGATAACAATAATTTTGAAATAAGAAAGGAGTAGAAAATAAAAAAGTAAAAATACCTTTTATTATTTATATGATTATTTATTTTTATTAATTTTTTAAATATTAATAATTAATAATTTAAATAGTAATATTTTATTTATAATTTAATATTATTATGATTAAAATATAAATAATTTTAATTAATTTTCAAACTTAAAATATTAATTTTTATAATATATAATTAAAAAAGAAAACTTTTTATTGTAATAATATTTATTTTTTAAAAATAATAAAATTTTATCTTTTGGAATAGCTTAGCTATTCCCTGTACCAAACATGTTGCTAGAGAGAAGAAGAGGAAGAGATTGTGTGACAGCAAGAGGGCAGAGAGATAAAAGAAATTATTTTTTTTTTAAGAAAATTTTGGTAAAATTTATTTTTAAATTTCTAAAAAAATTATATATTTTTTAATAGAATGATATTATTATATCATTTAATAGTGAATAGAAACTAAACATTATCAATATATCAATTGTATGTCATTTGTCTATCTTGTGACATATTAATATATACTAATATGACATGATGAGATAATTAATTGATATTTTCATTTTTCACCCCAATATTATATTAGTAGTACATAAATATAAAATAATAAATTATATTTTAATTAATTATAAAATAAAAATAAAAATTAAATTAAAAATATTTATTTTATATTTTTAAATTGTTCATAAATTTTTTCGAACATTGCCCGCTCACTCAATCAGCTCTTTTGCAAACAACAACTCGTAGACCTCACGACGCAGCGTTTAGTGCTATCCCAAAAGTAGGGGTTCGGGGGTGCAGCAATCGGCCGTTGGGACTATAAAAAGCGACTCAAATCCCGGCGTACGCTTAGGTTTTTCTTCTCTCTTTTCTTTCTTCTTTTCTGTTGTTGTCTTTTTAAAAGAATTGGGTTTGGTTGGTGATTGTTTGTTTTGGTTGGATCAAATGATGAGTCTGAGAGACCAACAACATGATGGATTCGTTCCATGATTCCTCGTATTAAAGTCTCTGATGATCAAATTCTCTTTTATTTTATTTATTTTTTGTTCTTTTATAATTTGATTCGGCGCGTTTTTTGTGTTTTTCCTCTGATAACTAAATGGAGCTTTTCCCTTCTCTTTAAAGAAAAATAAAAAACTAGTTTTTGCTTCTAATGCAACAAATTGATCCTTGTTTAGCTGGGTTCTGAAATTGTGAAGTCCTTCTGCCTTGTGAATGGCAAAAGGGTCACCCATCCTAGATTTAACTGATTCGAATTCATTATATTCTGTTTGGAATTTTGATTCGGTTTGACCAACCTTGGCTAACTAGGCAGGGGTAAAGCATGGGATGGATGCCCAATATGAATAGCAAGGTAAATGTGATTAAGGGTGTAATTATGGTAAGCCTAGACACTAATTGATGCTTCCACAAG